CCTCTACGAATTCGACTAAACGTCAATTTACATTTTAACAACAAAACGGAATTTACGTATATCAGTAACATTATTTTATTCTTTTTTTTAAGTTGTTGGCAAGGAGTGGCAACACAAAATAGAGTTCCAGTCGATATTACGGACAGTAAAAACGTAAAATTTTCTGTACAGATTTAGTAAAAATATCGGATATTAGCACTTTATTAGCACCCTATATAGATGTGGATTGATCTAAGTGAAGCATACAAATTTAATAAAACCTCTTTGTAAGTGTAAAATTAAAATATATGTATTTAGAATATTCCGAGCTAGCAGCCATTGACTTTTTGATTGACAGTTGATCGACGGCCTTCGCATACAATTTGCGAGGTTGTCAATATAAAGCTGGATTTATAAACTCGGGAGTTGAGGTTCAGTTGCCGTTCAAAACGTTCAACGCTATGAAATGAACGCGCGCATTTATAAAGTCAGTTGGTCGAAAAGTTGGCAGTTCGTTTTACGTTCAGCGGAGTTCAAAGATGGTCAATGTTTATGTCGGCAGTTGCGGGCAGTTGGCGACCGCTGGCGACGTTCGGCGACAGCCAATGAAAAAGCGCCTGTCGATCACGTGAAGCACAGTACGCCGATGCATTGGAAAATGACCCTTATTGTTGTTTCATTATTTCTGTTAATGTGATGTTTATATTTTGCGTAATCGTGGATTACTGTGTTTGAACTTTGACAAATACCAGAAGTATTTTTAAATCGAAAGAAAAACGTTCGAAATTTTCACAATTCCAAACCTAACCTACAACCGAAACTGACAGTTTATAAATGCAAAAATATTGAACCTCAACTGCCGCGAACATCCAACTGCAACTGAACCTCAACTGAACGCCAACTTCCGAGTTTATAAATCCAGCTTAATGGTTTTATATGATTTTCTTTATCAATTAGTTTTGTTAATTTTATAAAATATACCCAATAAAAATTAATATTTATTCATAATAATTGAAGTTATCATAATACAGCTCTAGCAATCAAAACACGCTGTGATTTTGCAAAAGACTGCTATTAGGTTGGTTAGGTTTTGGATAATCCGCAATTTTTTTTGGCTAAAATTATCTTTAAAAACCCGTATTTTGAGGAAAATTTTTGTTTTCTTAAAATTCTACTGTTCGTAAAGTCGAACGGACTCCAAAATAGTGATAATAATACAGTTTTTTGGCATTATATGATATTTAAAAAATAATTATTTATACAATATATAATTTTACCTTAACTATTACCTTAGAATAACTTTAGTTATACTAGACCGCAGTTTAAATGAATGAGATTGTAAACATTGCCTAATGAAAGTCTGGCACAAAAAGAATAATATATTAATTATTCTAACCAACCTAGAGTACCACCTTGTATGAAATATACAGTATGATAAAAAAAACGGCGTCAAGTTATCTTGTAAATGACGATGGACGTCATTCACATATATTGTTTTCTCTAATTTTTTGTAAACTATCTTCTGTTTTATTGTAGCTTTTTTCTTTTTGGTTGAGACGGGAAGTTAAATTTCAACCCCGTCTTTTGAAATAATTTATGTTAAAATTATTAATAAATACTACAATAAAGACGTTTATTATTATTTTACATATTAAATGACATCATTTCATCTATGGTCAACTGTGGCGTCGCTATTTTTGAAAATAATGATAGCTTTGAATTACCTAAATACCAAAAATACAACATATTTCAGTATGTTAAGTGTTTGTTCTAATTTAAAAAAAATGCCATTTGTTAATTTTATTGATAAAAAAGTGTCCACTTGCATTTTTAAAGGCCAATAAAACAAAATGATCTTTGACGATTAGGATGTGTCTAGCAAGTGTCTCTATAACAAAAAATGTGAACTATAATAAGGTCTTAGTAATTCTTTGGTAAAGAAAAATTACCTATCTATCTGTCGTCGAGAAAATGAAAAATTGATCCTTTATTTTTGTAATCATACTAATAAAATGTTTATATAAGCCTATTAAAAATGAAGTAGAATTTAATAATTCATTAAAAAAGTTGAAAACATTAGCTTCCCAGTAATTCTTTAGCTAAAAATTTGTAGCTGAAAATTCTATTATACAAGGTGCCCCAATATTCCGCGGACATAGAACTACTACATATTTTTGGAAACCAAAAATTCTTTAAAATGTTTTTTTCTTAAAAACCATGTGATTTGGCGTTTTTTACAAAAGACAAAAAATGAAGTAAATACTAGAAGGACCATTTTAAGAAAAAAAATCAGTCGTCGGCGTTCCAAAATACTTCTACTACAATTTATGTAGGAAGAGGGGGGGGGGTAATTTTCTCCCTTCCCGTACTATTTCTTGTTTTTTTTATGACAGACAAATGTTAAATATCTGTTTTTAAAATATTTAAAAAAATGTGTTTATTGTTTTAAAGTTTGATGCCCTCTAACGGAAAAACCAAGCACTTTTGAATAGAGGTAAACTGTGTCCAATGTACTTATTATGATTCCAAAAATACGTAGTAGTTCTATATCCACGGAGTATTGGGACAACCTGTATACAGGGTGGTCCGAACTGTATTTCGGAAACTTCGGCAGCATATACTGCAGATAAAAATAAGTAAAAAAGTTTGTATAAATGTATGTCCTAAAATGCTTAGTTTCGATTTTTTCGAAATAATTTCTACAGTAACGTCAATATTTGGATGAAAATTAGTGTCTGGGAGTGTTTTGACATGACAAATTTGATTTTGATGGTAAAAATCGCTACGAGTATTGGTTTTCGAGATAGTTGGAATCGAAATTATCAATACCTGTCTATCATTGACATAAATTAAACATATATATGTTGACTAAATAGTTATTAGACTGAGATCATAAATTTGAAAGTTTTTGTTCAAAAAGTTCAACAGAAACTGTTTTATCATCATTTTTTTGCAGAAAAATTTATGATTAATTTAAAAAAATAAAATTTTCCCAAATTTATTATTTCATAGAGATAACTATCTACTCAACTTGTTTATTTTTCGTCAATAATGACATGTATTGACTATTTCCATTCTAAATACCTTGAAAACGGTTGCTCGTCGCGATTTTTACAAAGAGATATTTTTTACCTAAAAAGTCACAGAGATGTAAATTTTTTCCCTCAGTAGTTTTATACAGGTACGGACAAAAAGTTATTACGCTTCAAAGCAGTTAAAATACATGTAGGTGGCGCCCTCTACCAGTAGGAGTCATATTGACACCAAAATCAAATTTATCACGTCAAAAACGCCTAGATACCAATTTTCATCCAAATATTGACGTTGCTTCCGAAATTATTTGGAAACAATCGAAATAAAAATGAAACTTCTACACCCTGTATCTCTGAAACTAAGCATTTTAGGACATAAATTTATACAAACTTTTTTACTTATTTTTATCTGCAGAATATGCTGCCAAAGTTTCCGGAATACAGTTCGGACCACCCTGTATATTATTATGTAAGTTTCTGTCAAGAAGGTTAAAAATTGCCATTGAAAATAAATGTAGGCTAAAGAATTAAACTAGTTTAACATTATTTGGGACATTTTTTAGAGTCAGTCGCCAAGAATGTGACAGTTTCTGATACAGAAATATCTGATATACGTAAACCACCAAATTAACTAATTTTGTGCGCGGGGATTCCCCATAACAAAACTGATTGTCGTTCCGTCCGATCATTTCTCCGGTTAGATTCAGTCGAAATAAACACGTTGCACTACGTTCTAATACTTATAATTAAAATACAGGGTGGTTCGACTCCAACTAGACAAACTGCAAAACTCGATCAATTTCAATAAATTAATAATTATGAGCTTTATAAATTATAATTCATGAGTTCATATGAATTTGTCTTAAACATCTGCGTTTTTATGTTACAGGGTGTACATGTTGCTTATTTTTTATCTTTTAAAACCACTAAAAATGTTTAAAATAAAATCTGATTTTTCATTAAATGTTGTTCATGATGATTGAAGCAAATACTAATCTAAGTTTCAAGCAACCAGCGGAAAAAAATAGTTGATTTTTTTGACCCACCCTAACCGGTATAGTTGTAAAAAATACATTATTTAATAATAATCAATAACAATAACCTTGCATGAACCTGCAGTACTCAAATGTTGACTACTGTAGGTCATATTATAAGGTTAGGAAAATTACTGGTCGTCATAATACAAGGTTCGCTGATATGTATAGGAATGGTCGATTATTAGATAAAATACAGGAGGCACCGCAAAAAGTTTAATATAAAAGTTATAGGGTTTTTAAATGTCTATTAGCGAGTAATAAAGTTAAGTAGACAGGGTCGGTTATAAAGTCGTGGCACATCAAAATTTACTTTTTTTAAATGCAACCCCCTCTGTACACTGCATATTTTAATTCTTCCTTCAATTCTAAGCTAAAATCGAGATACACACGATGTACCCCAAACCAACCGTTTCCGAGTTATTGATTTTTGAAAATATCACGAAAATAATCCGAAAATTCTCGTTTAATATTTCAAAATCAAAACATCATAATTCGGAAATGGTTAAATTTAGGAACATTATGTGTACTACAATTATTATTGCATAAAATTGAAGGAAGAATTGAAATATGCCATAATATACAGGAGATTTTGATTAAAAAAATCAATTTTGATGTGCCACCACTTTATGACCAACCCTGTACACTTAAATTTACTACTAGCTAATAAGACATTTAAAAACTCTATAACCTTTGTATTTAACTTTCGCGGTACCTTGTATATTTTACCCAATAATCGACCATTCCCATACATAATAGCAACCCTGTATAATGGGCTACCATCTTAGCGAACGTCTAAATGATGAATGTATAGCCTGTCCATGGCGCGTACTTGTGAAACATTGATCACAGACATTACAAGAGTATACATGTGAGAGGTCGCCTACGTTCTGTAAAGACAACAACAACAAGAATATGTTTTCAAATTATAGTCAAAATATCTTCATTGATTTTGAAACACTTTTCCTGTAACTTGAAAACGAAACCATTTAAGACATTCAGTATTCATATAAACAATTTAGCTGTCAAAAAATATACTTTATCATCACCCGCTAGTCAAGTCGAAACCATCCTGCAATCATATCTCACTATGGATTTAGCTTTTTTGCACGAGAGGATCACAAAGGGTTGTGTGTATAGTTGAGGGGGCGGGGCGGGTTAACGCCTCAGAAGTCAGTACTTTGGGGCTCGGGCCTCTTCGCGGCCACGGGGGGCGGCGGAGGGGGCTCCGTCGGCTTGCTTAGACTCCTCGGCGACGAGGGCGAATGCAGTGCCGACGCCAAGTCCCGCAAGTTGCCTTCTGAGCGAACCCGCATGTGCGCGCGAGGCGTTTCTCTTTCGTTACGGTTCTCCTCGTTGGACGTCGCTCGGTAGTTGTCCTCCTGGCGCAACGGTTGCCGGAAGGCGTCTAGTTTCTCGTCGGAGTCCGCCGTGTCAAGTTTCTCATTCGATTTGACCAGGATAAGGCTCTTCGGCGGGATCGAGGGTCTCGATTCCGTCGAGGAACGGCGCTCTTTGTTCGAGTTGACGTCGTTGAATTTGTTCTCGACCGAGTTTCTGGGCAAAGGCTGGTGACCTATAAGAGAATATTAAGTTTAATATAAACTGTATGTTTATCTTATCTAATATACAGGTAAAAATATGTAAACCCTAGTCTATTAATGACAAGAGTTCAGCTAATTAGAGAGCCTATATAGCAGCTTATTCTATACCAGCTAGTTGTTTTCTGGTATTTTGCTTTGAACTGTTCTACGTGAATAATTATTCTCATGTGACATCGTGACAAAAACTGGTAATTTCTTAAATATAAATATAAACTTAATCTAATAGGATACTATAAACAAAAATCTGACGTAGTTGCGAATAATAATAGAAAAAATGTTTCATTATTTTGGAAGCCACCCTAAATTTTAACCCTTAATTAATTGTATTTTTAAAAACTGTGGGTTAACTTACATGAGTGGAATTATTGTAATACTTTTGTAACTGATTTTTTCAGTATTGTTGATGAAAGTATATCAAAAAGCTTAGTTACTTACTAACTGCCATTACTCGCTGAAGAGTATTTGACATCATCAGGCGATTGTTACGCAAGGCGTTTTCTTTCATGAGCTTTTCTGCGATTGAAAAGCCCGATATGGAATGTTATCTTTCTTCCGCAGTCCGGACATTCAGAAATCTCATTACTTTGTTGCCTCCTTTCTTTAAAAAAAAATCTTCACTGCGTTCTATTGTGCGCTGCTTCCTCCCACTGATTCTACATGCTTCGCCTTTAAGTTCTGCTGCTCCTTTACTTTCTCCTGTAGTTAGCGGACGGAGAATATAGAATCAGCGGTCAAAAACGCATGTGTAACGTTTGTCCGTCAAAATAACTTTTTAATTTCCTAGTCGGACGAATACAAAATCGTCAATAGAGTGACTACAGATGAAAGAAAGAGACCAAACCGTGTTCGCAGAGAAAAAAAGTGATCGACACGTCATAATTAAGGAACACAGAAAATAAAAAAGTATTTCAATAATTCAACTTATATGTAGGCATAACACTCTACAGTATAATTAGTGGTATTGCAGAAAAGTTAAATAACATTCAAAACATCGTTCAAACTGAAAATGCATAGTTGGGCAGAAAAATAAATATATTATACCATAATGCGGCGTCACACATCACAATCACAGAACACACTGCCTAGGTATATTTTGTTTCAGTTCCACTGCTCCAGTCACAAAAGCCATTAATTAAGTATCCTCTACTACTTTTACTGATATCTATGCTAATACAAGCAGGTAGCATATAATTTAATGATAATTCAGTGGTTTCAAGTCGAAACAATAATATTATGTCAAATTTATTTCAAAAACCTTCCAACAATGAACAAATTTTATAAAAAAACTTTTATTAGTTTTACGAAAAGTGAGGAAACGTAACTCATGTATGAATGAAGGGTCCAGGGTCCAGAGGAAAACCATGATAAGGGCCATTTTACTAATTTTACAGGAAAGCACTGGACGGCTGGTGTTTATCAAGTTCTTTGCGTGTATTCTATATTTTTACTAGACATATATCATCGGATTTAACAACTTATCGAGCTGGCAGAGTTTATATATTTTGTAGGGACCAGTCAGACCTATATGTTAAAATCCTAAAATTAAGAAATTGGCGCTTCTCAAGGTTTTCCCCTGGACCCTTCAAATGTAATAAGGAGTCCTTACAACCATTACTCTATCGTAGTTGAAGTAATTAAATACCTATATTATTTTTAAATTTAATACGGTTATAGTGTTATTGTCATAGTTATAAATACCACCAGATAAACAGCGGATATTAAATAAGCTTATTAGCGAGTTATGGGCTACGATTATTAATAAATAATGTTTGAAAGTTAGTAGAAATATTTTAAATTTTGCGTTGAAGAAAGCTGTAAAATATACGCTGATGTTAATGACATAATAACGAATTGACTGTAAACTTTAAAGTACTCTTTGATTCAAGTAACAATATATTAATCAAATAAAATGTATTCAGAATATCAATTCCACATCCAAATGCATGCAATCTATAAAAGTGATACATTACATAGTTCTCTATGACAATAAATAGAAAGATATGATAACGACAAATGGCATTGCAAAAGATGTACTAGTGATATCGTAGTATAATAATAAGTATATGCACGTTATTAGCGTTTGTCTAGAACATTTTTATATCTGCTATTATTATTAGGTACTCAAATGGAATTTTCTCACTACAAAGTTTTTATTAGAACTACCTATAGAAGATAGGAACACCAAAGTTGGGTTCATATTGTAAATTGACTAATTTGCTAGTTTTTTTAAGAAAGTGGCAGCTGCATTAGCCAATTTGGACGGTTTGTTAGAATAAGTTTATATTTATAAATTAGTATTTCCTTTGGGTATTAAAAAAAAAACTAAAAATTTTAATTAAGTAAACTAAAAACAACCAGAAAATTTAAGAACATTGAAAATTAATAAAAATAAACCCAACTGGAAAGTATTAGTGTCCGATGTTAAAACTTAGCGATAAAAACTAAATTAATTAGTTAAAGCAAATTGTGCTACATATAAAAATGATTTACGTATCATGTCGCGCTTTAAGATAAAACACACGAACTGGAAAAATGTAATATCTCCAAATTTACTGAAGAAAATGCTGGGGATTAATTACTAATTAAAATTCGAAGATTTCTCGAAGACAACGTAAATAAATGAATTGCTACGATGTTAGACGTTGCCATATCTTTCCATTTGTTAAAATTACCCAAAAACTTTTCTTTTTCGGCCATCATGACATCATGGCCGAGTTGAATTTTCTCATTTCGGTTCTGTATGTTGACGATACTCGGCTGTTGCTTATTGGCAACGCTGTAGACCGAACATTGAGTTTTGTGCACGGCGGGGTCGACGTCTCCCGAAGACCTATTAATTTTAAGACTTATGATGTTAGATAAGACTTAAATATTTCAATACTACTTCAAAATATCATTCTAAAAAATATATTTAGCAAGTACCAGGTTTGAACATTGTAACAACGGTTGTGTATAGTATCGAAATAACTTTGTAAAGATGATGCTCGTCAGAAAAAAAATCAGGGTGTCCCTCAAAGATCTGTACAAAATTCTGGAAATATTCCTGGCGTTAAAATATGACGATCTAACTCAACTACCATTGATCTATAATGTATATTGTTATTCTTTAAAAAGTACTTTATTATTGATGTTAAGACGTATAATTTCGTTTTGGAATATTTTATGTTGGAGAAATCTAATAAACGACATTTTTTAGTCGTGTTTATTCTTTTACACTCCATAGGCTTGGTGAGAAGTGTCTAGCCCTAGCAGTCAACTATTAAGCTTGACAAATCAGGTTGGTTAGCGTGGTTATTTGGAGGGTGTTAATTCATTTGTGTTTGTCAAAAACTCTAACGTGATTGGTCGGGCTTAATAGTTGCCTGCTAGAGCTAGACACAAGTGGCTTGATGCATCTCAGCGGATTTTAAAATTTCCGACCGCAGCGCTCAATATGGCAAAAATCAGAAGTTTTCGATCTGTACTTCACACAGTTCCGATGCTGATCGCAATGAAATAATATTACAATTGTGGGTTTCTCATATTTAAGTATTTTAGTTTGTAAAATAGTGCAGTTATTGAAACTCTAAAGCACTCAGGTTTCGGGTAGTAAAAATAAAGTGAAAAACAACCTGAACTGGGCGTCGCTTTGTGAAGTGACAATTTCAAATGCTAAGAAAATTGTCGAAAAAATGTTAACACGTAAAGGAGGGAGAAATTACGTGGTTGCTGGGTGCAATAACATTCAATTACTCAACTTTCCGGATATTCAACTCCCCCGAAACAACATTTTATAGCTTCACAACTTCTCACACCAATTGGATCAAAAGCAAAAATTGATTCAAGCAGCTCGACGAAACAAGTGAGTAAACAAAGTGCCCATTACATAATCAAAAAATTAAATAAGCATATGCTACGACAGAATAAATTACAATTTGCGATATTAATGGTAAGTATACTTCTTTTAATCAACTAGTGCTTAAATTTATATGAACATCTTCTAAAATTATAATTATATATATGTACCTTCAAATTCATTATAACCGAAATAGCCCCAGTTATGTCTCTGCTAGCAAAATCGGTGCTACTATGCTAGTGGTAAAACTATATAGGCTACTAAAACTAACCTAGGCTACGGTATTTGAACTCATCTAAAAAGTTTTATTAGTTTGAATAATAAATTATAATACAAGTTAGACCTTCTGAAGATCATAAATAAAAATCACCACAATACACCTCAAACACCTTAAAGTTCAGACTTAAGCTTGATTTTCATGCATCCGTTGTCCGACGATACGTTGATACGATATTAATTTTATTGGTAGAATTTAAAGACTTTAATTGGTTAGAAAATAACGCAGTTTTTAAATTTATTGCATTTTCATGTCTCCGTTCATCGGATATACGTTGGTGTTATTTTATATTTTCGTTTCCATAACGATTTGGCTATTTTACTTATATTTTTATTAAGGTTATATTTATTCAAAGGGTTATATTAAATTTGCTAATAAAGTGTCAAAACGGCCGTTATCGTATGAACGGGTCCGTTGACGGGTTGAAGTAAAATATTTACGGAAGAAAAGTGGCGCGAAAACGCTATGACCAATCAAAGCACAGTCGGACCATCGTATCAACGTATAACGGATACATGAAAATCAAGCTTTAGTCTTGCTCATCTGCTGATTATGCTAACATGGTTAGCGAAACGCGCGTCCAGTGTAAAAGTAAAAGTGTTTTGGTGTATTGTGGTGATTTAGTGTTTTATTTTGCTGTGTAACACCAACCCCCATCTGTATATCTGTATGATATCTTCTGAAGATACCTAAATATTTACTTTTTTATTTTTATTTTTAGAATTTTCACAAATTATACTTCCTAACACTTTTAGAATAATCATATAATAAATTTTTTGTACACTCGCTATTTAATCCCGTATATTTGTATATGCCGGTTGATTACGATTTTCTCCGATGGTGGCAGCACCGGCGGAGAATGCATCAAGCCTATAATTCAATTCATACATCTGCAGCATTAAAAGAATATGACCCTTTCAATGCGTATAAAGATTTATTATACAGACCTAGTCATCCTAAATCTGTGGTTTGTATGGCCCTAATAAAAAATCAAAAGTGTTCAAGAGTGATAAGATACAGTTTTTCTATGCGGTATTGCCGGTTTTCCATTAAAATATTTAATAACGATTAAAAAAGCGTTTCAGCAGCAAGAATTAAGCGGTTTATCAATAATTAAAGTAATTGTGCTACAGTTCTAACGCTTCATGAAATATTTTACATTCTATTGGTTTGCCAATTCAATTCTGATTTTTATCTTCCTAACCTTAAATCATGCCTACCGGATCGAAAATTTTGCATATCTTAACATCTCTGTCTATCAACTGGTTATAATCACATAAGACAACTTTGTTTTATCTTTCTCTTAGAGTAGAGACCACGGGTATAGAATGACCGGTATAGGTAGAGTAGTTTGAATTTCAATTATTATTAGTTAGGCTACGTTAGTTATTGACCACTTATCTTTCGACATTTACTTATACAATTAATAAATTTTATCTTATACAGGGTGAGTCTTAAATAAGTGCAATTATTTGCAGGGCTGGTAAATCTCGACAAAAGCGAAACTCTTTACCGTTTTTCAAATAAGTCCAAAATAACTGAAATATTTTACTTTAAAAATTAAAAAAAATGATTTTTCTTTTAAATTTTGAGAACCATTGGATCTTTTCTGGGTTTTCTTTCTTGTAAATTTAATCTACTACCTACGGTGCCATATTATGAAGATATTATGTTTTTTAATTAAAAATTTAAAAAAATTCCAAATTTTTTTTCAAAAAATTCGAAATTTTCAATTTTTTTTTTCGCGAAAAGAAATTCATAGTCGTGTTTCTGGGGTCGAAATATACCTAAACATATTTCCACTTATATTATAACTTAAGAAGACTAACCCTGTATAATATTTAAGCGTTTATGCTATAAGACAATGCAGATAGAGGTACAACAATCAACCATACCCGAAGCGGGATTTGAACCATCGACATTCATACTTAATAAACATCGAACCACTTAAACTAACATTTTAACTGTAGATGAACGAAATTTTAACTCAAAAATTAATTTTTAATTTGTCATTTTTTTGACACAGTTTATTGAAATCATACATTCCCTCACTGAATAGTTTATATGAAGGCTCTTTTAGACGATTTATACTACGTTAGAATCTAGTACAGACCTTCCAGGTACAACCTGAATTAGTTCTTTGAAATATTTTCAAGCTCTTTGATATTATAGTAAAAAAATATGGTAAATAAAAAAAATATGAAGTGATTATAGTGTTTAGAAATTTAGTCAATATATTTAATATTTAAATTTGTATAATGTATTAATAGATATAGATGTGTTATAAGATATACATATGAAGAACAGTACAACACAATTAAGCAAATAGATAATTTATCAGAATAAAAGATATCTTTAAGACGATTACAAATAAAGCCTGGTTAAGTATTACAACATGAGACCTTGAATGTATTTTCCCACTAATTTTATATGTATCTAACTTTGATAATTGCAATATAATAATATATTGCTATATAAAAGGACAAAAAATTATTAGTATTCTTAAGCTTGATTTCCATGCATCCGTTATCCGATGACACGATATTAATTTTATTGGTTGAATTATTATTGTTATCTATTATTGACTTCGATTGGTTAGAAACTTACGCAGTTTTTAAATTTATTGCATTTTCATGCCTCCGTTCATCGGATATACGATTTGCTTGTGATTGGTGTCATTTTATATTTTCAACTAAAAATGCTAAAAAAAACTAAAAAAAGAAACTAAATATGCTACACATAGACTTGCTACATAAAAATGCGCCCTGCATTTCAAGAATTAAGGAGGCTAGGCAAAACCTATGTGTAGCATATTTAGTTTCATAAAAAAGTAGCATAGTAATGTGAAAATCGCATCATTGTATCTCTACTCATAAACTAGAAATCCCATAAACACACGAAAACGGGATACACTGTACAGATGTGATGCGCAGTAGTGAACCGTAGTATTATACCGGCAGCCAGGCGGCCCACACTTTGGTCAGGAGAGCATAGCAATATTAAACAACCAACTTTCTTAAAATTCTGGTTTTTCCGACGTTGCTAGCTCTTGTACTATTACATTTTTATTACATTGTTAGATTTAACTTGTCAAAAATGTGCCAAAATAACCGTTATCGTACGATCTTTCTCCGACGGGCTGGAGTAAAAAATTTACGGATGAAAAGTGACGCCACAACGCTATGACCAATCAGAGTGCCGTCGGACCATCGCATCAACGGATGCATAAAAATCAAGCTTTAGTTGTTTATTCAACTACATATTGTTAAATTTAAAAAAGGCGTCCATTGAACCCAAAGAGACCTGGCTTGTAACTTGTAACACAAAAGCCAGAGTCTTTTTACAGTCTTATTGCTTTGGCTTTTGTATCACATATTGTTAAATAAGGATTTTTACTTATAAAAAATTAAAAATTCAAAGTCACATATCATCCCAACACTCTTTTTAACCCTTTCTGCTATTTTTAATAAGAATTTTAGAAATATTAATTATTAGTGAATTACCCTGTCATTATCATACCTTTTGGCCGGTATTAAACTAGCAGGCCTTGCTGGTATTTCTGGTTTTGCCGGTCGGTCCACTTCCGGTCTGCGCAGTTGGACGTCGGCCAGTTCTACAGAACTGATCGGAGCCTTGTTCGTCTGGTCGCCGCTGCTATTTCTTTGGGAAGGATTTCGGGCGACGACGTTGGTGCTCTTGTTGTCGGCCATTAACGACTGCCTCGGTGCCGCTACTGGTTTCTGACTAGGACTTGTTAAACCTGATACAAAATTTGACTGTGTTAAGAACACCATATACAGGGTGGCCCGAACTGTATTCCGGAAACTTCAGCAGCATATTCTGCAGATAAAAATAAGTAAAGTAGTTGGTATAAATGTATGTCCTAAAATGCTTTGTTTCGGAGATACAGGGTGTAGAAGTTACATTTTATTTCGATTTTTTCCGAATAATTTCTGAAGTAACGTCAATATTTGGATGAAAATTAGCGTCTGGGAGTTTTTTGATACGAGAAATTGGATTTTGATGTCAATATGACTCCTATTTGTAGGGGGCGCCACCTATATGTGTGTTTAACTGTTTTGAAAAGTAATAACTTTTTGTCCGTACCTGTATAAAACTAATGAGTGAAAAAATTAACATTTGCGTGATTTTTTATATCGGTACGAACGAAAAGTTATTACTCTTCAAACCAGTTAAAAATATGTAGGTGGCGCCTTCAACAAATAGAAGTCATATTGACATCTAAATCAAATTGCTCATGTCAACAAAATCCCAGACAAGAATTTCATCCAAATATTGACTTTACTTCACAAATTATTTGGAAAAAATCGAAATAAAAATGAAACTTCTACACCCTGTATCTTCGAAACTAAGCATTTTAGAACATACATTTATACAAACTTCTTTACTTATTTTTAACTGCAGAATATGTTGCCGAAGTTTCCAGAATACATTTTGAACCACCTTGTATATTAAAACAGAAAATGTGTTTCCACAAGATAAAGTTATCTGGTTAAAACTTAAGAGAGTCAGAAGATGCCTAGTGTTTCCGCTGCGATTTCTTAATAGAAACAGCAGTTTCTATTACCTCTGTAAGGAACTACCATCAAGGCCAAGCAGCAAGAGACGTGGTAACACCGTGAGGATTGCGCTAGATTGAGGTGGTAGATAGCAAAAAGACATAACAACTACTACAGCACAAAAAGAACCTAGTACGCATAATTGTAGGTATCGTCACTGGAAGCTGATCCGCGGGCATAAACACATAAACTTCGTGAGATGGGAGATTTCCAACGACGACTACTGCAGAGAATGCGGAGAGGAAGAAGCCACAGAGCACCTGATGTACCACTATTCGGCACTGAATAACCGACGCTTTAAAACTTTAGGGCACGAATTTTTAGAGGGGCTAGAGGAAGCAGCAGAAGCCAACATCAGCGACATCAGGAACTTAAGAGCAAAGAGTTAGAAGTGATTTAACGCAAAAAAGAACGAGAAGTAGGTTTGGTACAATAATACAGGGATATCGCAATGGGGCCAAGGTCTCCGAGTGAGGGATCAAACAGTATCCCAAACCCCAGCAGCCTAACCTAATCTAACCATTACCTCTGTATGTCCAGCCAGAAGGAACGATTTTAACAGACAATATAAAAAATTGACTGATTTGAATTAAAATGGCAGACAACTGTTACTGTCATATATTCCTCCTTGAGCAGACTTCTCAACGGATAATCCCCAGTAAAGGAGCCCCAAAAAATATTTTTGTGTTAATTAAAAAGCCTTTTATTATACTATGTGTTGATTGTCTACATTTCGATAATAACCTTAATGTAAGAATATGCGAGTTGGTTAGGAAGAATATGCGAGTTACATTACAATTTTGATGAATCTTAAAGTTTAATATATTTTGTTCTAGTGAACCAATTTTGATGATTTTTTAAACAATTTGTTAATATTGTTTGACTTTTTAGAATCTTTTTTTAAATTAAAAATGAAAGTTTCCATCTGTCAATTATACGAGGGAAAACAAAATGTTGATACTTTGGTGAAAGTCTGAAACACCCTGTAGAATAGGTTCAAAAAGCACGGAACTTAATTTTATCATCGAGGTACGTCTTTTCTCGATAGTTTGTTTTTTGATTCATCTCAATAGCCTTATTTTTATTGGAGATATTCGCTTTTGAATAAGACTGTCACTGAAAAGTCATAAGGTTTGTTCCAACCCGCCGCAGAACCGTTACCGAACGATCACGCTCGTGCACTTTGAATAATAAGATTAAGGAAGGAGCATATCAAAAATCTTGATTCACCACGAAGGGACTCAAATATGGCCGACTTAATTTCCCGTTTATCAGTGCCGTTCTAATTTTATTTAAAAAGTGTTAAACGGTAGGTTGTGTAGACGTAGGGTAGTAAGTTGGGTAGACGTGGGGTAGACTCAATAATTTGTTGTTATATTTTACGTTGTGAATAAATGTTGGTAGTTATTAAAATTGTTATATTTTTATTTGTGTTAATTATTTATTAACACAAACATCCGATGCGCTACTGAAGCAGGTAAGTTAAATCGACGTATCTAAATTCTTTGACATCTAATCTTTGACAAGTAGTAAATAGGTTTGTTCTCACAGCGTGTTCCCAACATGTTGGCGACATGTTGCGACTACGTGTTTAAATAAAATGAGAAGGATGTCCGTAGAGTTTAACTCTCTAAACCTAAACAAAAAAAAATAAGTTTAATTTAAAGAATTTTTTTATATCAAGTCAACCCTAGACGAATTCTTCCGGGAGCCGGAAATTCCAGGCTTGTCAGCTGATATATAATAATATTCTTCTTTATAATTGTTTTTGTTTGTGTATAAAAACGGTATATATTTGTTTTATATTTGTATTTGTATGATTTTATGTCAAAAATTGTTGTTTTCTGTATATATTTTTCGACGATCCTATAATCTAAGTACCATGTATTTATATTAAAAGGAATTAATAAACTAAACTAAACTAAACTAAACATGTTTGTGACTTCTTCCAAACCGGTGTTAATGCGCAGGTCTCAAATAATGCAGTTTCTTGTCGATTTCAAACTGTCTGTGCGAACAGAGAATCCCCTACTCTTCTTTTTTGATCTAATAATACCACTAATTTTAACTCCTACGTAATAATGAATAAAGAAGAAAACGAACAGGGAATTAACCAAAGATATCTTTTAAGGTTTTTGGTTTTGTTCTTTTTAATGTTTTAATGCTTTGTAATGTTGATTCTTGGGTCTGATCCGTTCCTCCATCAGCTCTTCTAGGTTTGTGTCTATATCCGAAAATTCCGACGCCTCAGATTCTTCAGAAGATTCAAAATGGCTCATTTCTTTTCTTTATTTTTTGAAGAAAAAAACATTAAACAAAAACAGCACACGTTTTGTATGTTAAGTTTACCAATTAATGACGTCGGGTCGCAATACGCATGCGCCGCGCACTTGCAAAAGATCCGCGAACAGGTCTGACTGTCAGCTAACAATCAGAATTTTCTGTGCGAACGCGTTTTACCCTATTGCGCATGATTATCTGTTGGAAATATGTTTCTTACAGCTGTGAGAATAAACCTAATAAAAGCAAAGATGCAAGAAAAAATATATAATTAGTTAATTTAAGCGAATTTCATAAATGATCGGTTCACTATACGTATGTATATTATACAGGGTGTCCCAGAAATGAGTGCAGATATTTTAAGGGGTGGTAGATCTGGCCAAAAGAAACATATTTTCTCTTTACCATTTTTAAAATAGATTGAAAATAACCGAGTTATTTAACTTTGAAAGTTTAAAAAAAAAATTGCGACATTTTGAGAGCCGCCGGGGAATCTCGCGGAACCCCCGGCGCGGGGAAGATCTCGCGGATCTCGGCTTATTCGCGCCCGCTGTTGCCACATCGACTAGAAAGACTTAAAAAGTACTTGCAAAATCCCACACCATCCAAGAGGTTCTGCAGAGGTGCGTTACTTTTTTTAAGTGGGTGATCGCCAGTAGCCCTACTTTTCACATTACACAAAATAAACTAAAAGAAAAAAAACTTACCAAACAATAAAAAAAGATATCCCTATAGCAGAGAGATACAACTGCAGAGCTTTCTTTTTTTCCATTTTACCACTCTTAAAACTGCACATAACACTACACTTAATAACATCACTTCACTACAATTCTTAACAACACTATGCAAATTTTCAACTGTGGAAATATTGGCTCCCCTATTAATTTTAGAGCTAAATCGTAAATGGTTTTTAAAGATACATTACAAATTTGCACAAGGGGATCCAATATCTCGACAGTTCAAAATTTGCATGGGATATCCTATATTTCCAACGATGATGCACCACCCGGTATACCCTTCGCTTCTTGACTGCATGCTATTATAATAATTGTTCAAAATGACGACCTCCATTTCCAATACATGCTCTCCTTCTTCTGAGCATGGAATTTTTAACGTTTTGCAGCAATTCTTCGTTGCTTTTCCCGAATCCCTCAAATGCTGAACCATACTTACAAAGGTTCGAGCATTAGGGATTTATCTATTCGGATACTCTTCGGAATAAAGTCTCCGAGCTTCTACAGCGCTTTCCCCTGCCAGAAAGTACCTATGCTCTTAGCATATCCACCTTCTCCGGATTTCTATACTCCATCGTGATTTGCCTATACCGATACCGATTACCGACACAAAAATATGCACTAACGAACATTTCACAACACTTTAAACACAATCTCCGATCACTTTCTCGAATTTTAAAAGCTCGATAATATTAGAAATTAGATCGATTTCTAATAGTGTACATGCTTTGTGTACATGCGATTAATAATGTCGTTAGTCGTTAATATAATACAGGAATCTGTAATTTTCTCCCCACCGCCCATTTCATTGGAAAAAACGGCGGCAAGTTTTCTGCTTTTGAAATTACGATCGATGGCATTTTATTGTGTAAAAGTGGATGGTAAATGGCATCGATCGTAATTTCTCAGGCAATTTAACGTCTTAGCAGGTATACTTATTTTTTATCAAAAAGCTTTATAGAAAAAAAATAACTGAACATGTTAGTAGCTTTATTACTAATTAAACTATTCAAAACATGTTCTGATATTACTAAAAAAATTTAAGTAAAAAATATAGCAAATTTTATAGTTTGACGACGTTATAATTAACAATAGGCAAATGGAAAAAATTACCTAACTACATATTAGAGACATAATTCCATACCTAGAAATACCGTATGGTCGAA